TGCTTGTACAACATAAAGCAGAATGTTCTTGCATACAGATTGAGATTTCTCAATATAGCCAGACTGGAGTCATGAGCTACCCATTAAAGCAGTACAGACAAAGCTTGCAGTGCAGCTTTGCAGCCCATGGAAGATCTAATACAGAGTGCTGTAACTCTCTAGGTGGTAACATGTTCTTTCCCAGCTAGTGGACACTTAGATCCACCTAGAATCCATGTTTGGGACAGGCCCTGAAAGGACCCACACATTGTATCATGATTTAAGTCAGTTTTGGTAGGATATCTGAATTAAGGAAAGTAAGTTAGGTTAAAAGTTTTGTGCCTTCATGAGGTGCTGAATCGACAGCTACAGATTTGACCTTGCTAAGCTGGTTTCTCGCTGCCAGTAACAGATGCTTTTCTACAGACCTAGACAATTAGTGCAGACAGTGGGTCTCCTGTTTTTCTAAATAACATTGTTAGCTTCCCCATCTCTGGAATGTGAGACAGCAGACTAGGATGGTAAACTACAAATTAATGAAGAAGCAGTGGATTGGTAAACGGAGTTGTAGCTGATGAGACGACAAACCAGAGCTAGCCAAGTGTCCTCCAACCTGACCCAGGCCTTCATCAAAAAGACCACCAAACAACAACTGAGAGATATACACATGTAAAAGAACTGAGACTTGGGGTAAGAGGGAATGTCAATCATTCTGGGGACTCATTGTAATAATGAGTAATTTTTTTGAGTAATAATTTTCTTGAACATCTAATGCATAAGCAGCTTGTTCTTTAAAGTATGTGCTTTTCTTGCCCTCCAGTATGCAAGCTAGGTGGGAATACCCCCCCTGCATCCAGCATGTGCACAGTGCTGATTAGATATACCTGTGTTTTAACTTCTCTGTAGTTACAGAGTTTGATTTCCACGCATCACATCCCATTCCCAGAATTTTGTTTTTGTTTTCAGCACTTTGTAGGACTTCTAGGAGTATGGAACTAGGGGTTTTAGGCTGGAGGCTACAGTTCAAAGGGCTATGTGAGGAAAGAAGCACAATGTGTTATCCCTTCCTATAGGAACAGACAGCTACTTCTTACAGAAAGTTGGTCTTTCCTACTCAAGAAATAGGGTAATACTTTCTCATGCAGATGCTGGGTGGAAGCTATGACTGATCACCACAGATAACCTGCCCATTTTTCATCTGTTCCCACTGGGAATTTCTCCACCATGTATGAACTCATTGTTATCCATATAAGGAGATGTAGAACTAATATTTATTTTACTTAATTTAAATGGCTAAATTTTTAACATTAAAAGTCTTCTTTGCTAATTGTCAGCTTAGTATGAAGGAGTAAAGATACAGGCTTTAAAAGAATGCACTCTTGTGCACTCTTCCAAGAATTTCAACATCCTTTGAGGAATAAAACAGTTCTACTGAAAGAATACTGTCTGCCAGCATCTTAAGAAGCCCAGAGGAGACCACATGCCCATGTAACATGTGTTGATGGCTCCTTCTTCCTACACCATCAGTGGTCTTGGTTAAAGTCACTGAAAAGGAAGAGGAGGGCTTCTTTGGTCACTTGACGCAAAGCTTGAAGATGGGCATGGTGGGATAGAAGCGAGTGCCTCTACTTAAAAGGTGGTCTAGGGATAGGTTAATCAGAGAAGCATACAAAGATATACAGAGTATGCAAAGGTAAAGTAATCAATGTATTACTGCATATTTCTAGATGACTACATAAATAAAGAGAATTTTCTTTTTTATCTCAGTTTCCCATAAGGTTCCATAATCTTGTCAGAATGAGTGATACTCAACACCCCAAGATAGCCTTTTTTTTTCCATTGGAGCTCACATCAAATACTCTTCCCTTCTTATCTGGATATTTAATTCTGATCAACGTGTGGAAAAGTTACAGTTTCCAAATAAAACAAAAAAGGATTTTGATACACATTTTTAATCATCTTTAGTATAGAAATAAAAAGTAGTTCATTAAGAATACACTTTCAAATGCAATTTACTTTGTACTATTTAAGTCACATTAAAGCCAATATTTTTCTGCAAGGAAAATCTATTTTCAGTATACTTGTACTACTTTTAAAATATTGAGCATTTAACTTCTTCTGATCTCTGAGTCTTGGTGAGCAGCTTTGGTTGAAGTTATTGTTCATTTGCACTTGCATTAAAGGACACAGAATCACAATTATGGCATCAGTGTCCTTAATCTATTCTAGCTGCACATAAAAGATAACCATGACTTCTGGGTTCTCAGGATCATTGTAGATTTACTACTGCTGTCACACAAAACAGAGATCAAAAGCAGAGGAGTTGGGAAAGCTGTTTGAGGGTTAGTCTGAAAGATTTCATCCCTCACATGAAATGGTCTTTGTGAAACAGAGTTATATTAGGGATTCCATTTTATTAAGAGATTAAAATATGGGTTACTTTGACTTCGAAAATACATGCCAAGCAGGACTGAAAGAACTAAACAGATATTGTCATGAGAAAAAAGAAGAAGAAGAAGAAGAAGAAGAAGAAAAGATACAGAGCTAAGAAATCTTACTTCAAAGCACCAAAATGATGCAATTTTGTGTAATTATAATTCTACAGAAAAGATTCCAGATAATATCCTTTTATCAATGTTATTACTCACAAACAATAAAAGATTTCTTTAAGAATGTCAGGTGCAAAAAGAAAGGCTAGTGAAAATGTAGGCTCTCTGCTGAATGAGATGAGTGCTTTGAAAACAGAGGACACTAAGTAGGTGGAGTTACTGAACATCTTTTTTGCTTCAGTCTTTACTGCTAGTAATTCCTCTCAGGAATCCCAGGTTCTGAAGATAGTCTTGGGAGAGGAAGACTTCCTTTTGGTTGAGGAGGATTTGATCAGAGATCTTTTAGGCAAATGACACATACAGATCCATGGGCCCGTATGGGATGCATCAGCAAGTGCTGAGGGAGCTGATAGAACTGACAGCATTTGATTGCCAAACCTCTTTCTATCATGAAAGATCATGGAAGAGAGGTGCCTGAGAAATGGTGGAAAATCAGTGTAACTCCAGTCTTCAAAAAGGATGAGAAGATGAACTCAGGAAACTACAGGCCAGTCATCCTCACCTCCATCCCCCAGAAAGTAATGGAGCAGTTTATTCTGGATGTGATCTCCAAGCAAATAGAAGAAGGTTATTAGAAGCAGTCCACATGGGCTGTCCAAGGGGAAATCACACTTGACCAATCTAGTAGCTTTCTGTTCTGCCATGACCAGCTGAGTAGGTGATGGGAGAGCAGTGGATGTTGTCTACCTTGACATCAGCAAGACTTTTGACAGTCTTGCTCCTCATGGATAAGCTTAGAAAGTGTGAAATAGATAAGTGGATAGAGGTGGGAGTGAGAACTGGCTGACTGGCAGAGCACAGAGAGCTGTGATCAGTGGCACAGAGCCTAGCTGGAGGCCTGTAGCTAGCAGTGTTCCCCAGGGATTGCTACTGGGCCCAGTCTTGTTCAGTATCTTCATCAGTGAACTGAGTGAAGGGATTGAATGCACGCTCAGCAAGTTTGCTGATGAGCCAAAGCTGAGAGGAATGGCTGACACATCAGAAGGTTGCGCTACTATTCAGCAAGACCTGGACAGGCTGAATCCTGGTGAGATTCAACAAGGGCAAGTGAGAGTCCTGCACCTGGGGAGGAAAAACCGCATGTATCAGTACAGGTGAGGGGCTGACCTACTGAAAAGGAGCTCTGCGCAGAAGGATCTGAGTGTCCTGGTGGGCAACAGATTGGCCATGAGCCAGCAGTGTGCCCCTGTGGCCCAGAAGGTCAATGGCATCCCGGGGTGTATTACAAAGAACATGGCCAGCAGATAGTGGAAGGTGATCCTCCCTCTGTCCTCTGCCCTCCTGAGGCCACATCTGGAGTACTGTGCCCAGTTCTGGGCTTCCCAGTTCAAGAAAGACAGGGAACTTCTCAAGAGAGCCCAGTGAAGGATCACAGAGATGATGAAGGGCCTGGAGCATCTCCCTTATGAGGAAATGCTGAGAGCCAGGGACTGTTCAGCCTGGGGAAGACTGAGGGGGAATCTTATCAGTGCCTATAAATATCAAGGAATGTAGCCAGGATATTTTCAGCAGTGCCCAGTGACAGAACAAGGGGCAATGGCACAAACTGGAACATAGGAAGTTCTGTATAAACATGACAAAGAATTTCTTTTCTGTAAGAGGTACTGAAATGAGCTGCCCAGAGAGGTTGTGGAGTCTCTTTCTCTGGAGATATTCAAAACCTGCCTGGATGCTTTCCTGTGGAACCGACTGTAGGGAATATGCTTTAGCAGGGAGTTGGACTAGATGATCTCCAGAGGTCCTTTCCAATACTTAGAATGCTGGTTTTGGGGATTCTAGACACAGATGCAAGAAGTTACGAGTTGGAAGGCTCTAATATTTTCATCTGCATTGTAAGAATCACTTCTCCTCCTGGTGGAGGAAGATACTGACATTGAGGATGAGTACTGATATCCGTCTGGATTATGAATCTAAAACATTAGGAGAAACCTTGCTGCAGTTCTGATTCAAGCAGTCACCTTCAGAGGGTGAAGGCTACAGAATGTAGTCTTCATACCTCAGCCTTCCACAGTGGGTATCAAAAGAATTATCTTTTTAAGCATGCTGAGTCAACTCTGAATCCACAATGTTACATAATAATATTACGGCAGAGTTGTTACAGCTCTGAATCTGAGCTAATAATACATTGATGCACCACTAAAATCTTTACATTTTGTCTTGCTTATAAGCCTATAGTAATGGCTTAGTGATCTCACATCCAACTACAAAAAGCCACACAGATGTGCTTTTAAGTAACTCTTCTCTGAAAAGGCTTTTTTGTGAGTACAGTACTGAGGCATGGACTCCATGTTTTAGATAGGCAATGTCAGTGCCTTTCTGACATACTCCATTCTGCAAACCAGTGACACAACACAGCACACCAGTTCTTGGCCTGAAGAAACCATTTTGGGATTAGTGCTTGTGCAAATACAGTATATTTTTGCATGGTGATAGATTTCTGTTAATGAAGCTGCAGCATACTTGCTGTCTTTTCCACTAGCATCTGTGCTTTTAATCAATGGCAACATCAAATTCTGAAGGAAAAAAAAAAGTATTATTTCAGGATGGAGGTGTTCATGTGTAAGAGAAGAGGTACAGTTTCACCAAGGGAAGTCATGGTTTACATGGCCAGGCAGCATGCAGACTACTGAAGCATATAGAGTTCAGCATTTCATGGGAAACATGCACAAATGTGAGGAACTGAGGGGAGAATGACTGTGAGAGGAAAAAAAGAAAAAAAAAAGATGGATTACTCTGTGTTGGTCATTACTATTCTTTTACTGGGCCAAGTGTGGTAATGCAGCCCCATGGTTGTAACAGGCCGTAGCACTGGATGGTTGAGATTTCCCCCTTCTGATAATTTTGTTACAATATATGTGGAGAGTTTCCCTAGATTCCCAGAACTAAGATTATTTTTATGCTTTAATGAGAAAAAAATGGATTAGTATCTGAAGGCCAAAAGAGGCAAGTTTCTTTCTCTGCTAATCTACTGATAATTAAGATATATGACATAGGCATGCAGTACACAGGAAGATAATAAACTGAAGCTAGGTGAAGACTGGCATTTTTGCACATGACTTCTTCTTCTATGTAGCCAGTGATTTGCAAGAGCTACAGAAAATCTTCATTTGATCTTCTGGAGGGCATTGCAGAGGATCCCCATCTCACCTGTAAAGAAAATAATCAGACTAATTAGTCCTACAGCTAGCTGATTTCTAACATTTCTGTCTATATTTATATTGACAGTTATATTCATTCCCTGGGGGAGGAAAAAAAAAAAAAAAAGAAGAGTAAATAATTGCTGGACTGGACACATTAATGATGGTCATACTGGAATTTTCAGAGACAGCCCTTCACTTTCATTAGTCATACAAGGTTGGCTTGTAGGATCAGGAATGCTGATTCTTGGAAGCGTAGCCAATGTTAGGGAAAAAATATATCATGAGAAAACTAGAAACAAAAAAAAGGAATATATAAATAAGCCAAACTTCTCTTTTTTACCAAAAACAGCTAGAGGCACAGATCAGAAACCATTACAGAGCCTCTGAATTTTCCTAGGGCCTCCAGTTAAAATGGATATTTCAGATGTAACTAACTATAGTCAAGTGGAAATGCTATTTTGAAGGTTGGCTATATTTAGAAAGGAATTTTTGCACAATAAAAGAGATATCTGATGCTTGATCATGGTCAAGCTCAGAGCACAAAAAGCGAAGACAAAATCTGTTTTGTGGTTACTATTTCTGATTTGAGCTTAGAGGTATTCCGACTAACAGATCCATAGTTCCTTACTGTTGATAGTGTCAGCTAAGTTCTTCAGCTGCTTTGCATTGTCCAAGACTTCGATCCTCTGGGTGTAGGGATTGTACCGAACAGAGAAAGGACGAGGGATTGTTTGGGCAAATTTCCTGAGGCAAAAATACAAAAATACACGCAAACATGAAAAGTTCCATTTTTCAGCAACTCTTCTCAGTTGGCATGTACATTTGCTAATGAGGGGAGGAAGCAACTGAAATTCCTGCTGAATGAGATGAGACACATAGTGTTCTGTAAAATGCTTGAATCTTCATTTGTTCTTGCCACCTCTAGTTTTTCCAGACAAATCTAATTATTCTACACTTCTGATACAGGACAGCTACATAGCTATCAGTATTTGCCAAACAGCAAGATCTCATTTTCCTTTCAGTAATGCAAAGTCCTGATCCGTGTCTACAATTTCTGGGAAAGCAAAGTCAAATATTATCATATTACATCATCCTGCAATATCAGGGAACAGGCAAACTTCTGGCATGGTTGGTAGTAGTTCCCAGGTCACTGAAAAATAAGAGATAGTCGGTGAAGTGAAGCTGCAGTTTTGCTGCCCTTATTCTCAGCTTTCTCTGCTGCAAAATAGTTAATTCCATGGCAGAAACATTAAGATTTAAGTATCTTGGGATAACACTAATTTGCATTACCACAGAATTGTAGAAGGGAGAACTGAGTGGGAAAAGATGGTCAGAGCTATTGTTCCAGGCTCTCTGCAGGACCCAGCAGGATACTGGTTTATATATCTGCTTCAGATTATTGAAGTTATTGCTGAAGGAGGAAAGAAAGCGAACAAGGGTTGATTTTGAAGCCTCACTGTATAGGCTGTGACTCAGCATGGTTAATCCCATATTCCCAGAACAGTGAAATATGTTGGATGCCACTTCTACATTGCTCCTCAGTTTAGCCCTAATTATTATCAGATAAGGCCATTGTTTCCAAGTTCAGTGTGAGCAGGCCACAAGGTGCGACAACAGAAAACAATTATGCTGGCTACAATGAAAGAATTTAGTATGGTCAGTTCAGCTTTTCTAAGTGAAGAGGTCCTCTTTAGAAGACAGTCTTCTTAAATCTCTGCTGCAAGTAAGATCCTTGTTAGAAGATAAATACCTCAGAAGATGAATTTCAGGTCAACCTCAGAAGTTTTCAGGGAGGTGTCCTATTACACACACACACACACACACGTAACCCACCAACACAGGCACTGAAACAACACTTTCACCTCTAACCAGTTTTCCAATTCTATTTTTGAAACAAGTGAAAGAAGCAATAAAACCTATAGAGTAAGGAGTTTTCTATAGAGTAAGCCAGCATCTTTTTTTCGTTAGAGTAAGGCTTTCTCCTCAGATAGAGAGGTACACGGTGAAGATAGAAACTGTATTCAGAATGTTAATAGCATAATCCAGACAAGAAAGCTATCTTTTTCAAGTCCTGCCCCACAGAAAAAGGCAGGAGTAAAGGCTGCAGGTTAATGATGACTGAGGAAACAGTAGGGGAGATAGCAAGGAAGACCTAGCACCAGGGAGCCTGGAGCAGGTGAATGTCTTGGGTCTTGGTATGTGTTAATCTGCAAATAGGAGAAAGTGGAAGAGAGAAAGAAAAATAAAGAAGAGACAGCAGATCTGGGACAAGTCCCTGTATAGCATCTGCTGTGAAAGATTTATTGAGCGTGAACAAGATTAATCCCCAGATGCTTGGCTAATGTCCAGAAGGAATGTTGTTGTTGATACTGTTATTAAAGAAAAATAGAAATATTTCTGTGAGGTGGAACCCAAGCTGAACCCCAGGTGCAGTCTGAGCCAGTTCTGTTTCAAGAACCAGAACTGAAACTGGACTTCTACTTCAAAGTCTTGTACTGGAACTGAATTTGTATTTGAGTCACAGATGACTGAAAGATTTATTAAGTAGCCCTGTAGGCTTGTAAACACACTGTTCATAACAAGCTGGAGGCTCTGTATTGAGCCTAACAACAGAGGCCTCAGGATTGGGGTTATTACGTTTGCTGCTAGTTTCATTTAGTTGTAATATCAGTTGTCTAATGACCGTGTAGCTATTAACCGATTTATCACAGTTTAATTCTGAAAAATTCTGTTTTATAATGCTTAGTGTTAGTAATTTTTATACAGGCAGAAATATCAAGTAGTTATGCTGTACAGAGTGAATTAAGTCAAACCCTAAAGTATGATGTAACATAAAGGACTATTAGAGGTCTGATAAATGAGGCCTAAGGGCATGAGGGTAAGATAGGATAGAATGGGATGGGTTAGGATAGGGTAGGATAGGATAGGGTAGGGTAGGGTAGGGTAGGGTAGGGTAGGGTAGGGTAGGGTAGGGTAGGGTAGGGTAGGGTGGGATGGGATGGGATGGGATGGGATGGAACAGGCTAGGGGAGGGTATGGTAGGGTAGATGATGCTGTGGTCCCTAGGCTATCAGCAGTTCCTGCTGATCAGGTGTTCATAGTAACTTAGGAGCTGAGGGAAAACAAAAAATAGACAAACTCAAAGAACTCACAGGTACAATTTGAGATGAGAAAAAAGAAACAAAAAAGATGTAAAGCATGTTAGAAAAGATAACAGTGACTATGAACTAAGGAGGAAGAAAGGAAATGTAAACATATTTCTCGTCCTCAGGAAAGAGAGGAAGAAATACTATATACTAGCATCACAGTCTTGCTCTGAAGACCTCAGGAGATGCTGATAACTTGAGAGCTCCATCCCCTACCCCCAGACTAAAACTGTTGACTTTAAGACACAAAAGAAAGTGTAAGGGTGAACATAAGTTGAAAATAAAAGGGAAAAGACAAGACAAGAAAATTTGTTTTAGTAACAAAGTTTAACTATATTATTGTTAAATAAACTTGTTTTGCCTTAATTTGCTAGCTTTGACCCTTAGTGTTATTATCATTGCAACTGGACTATTAATCCGGGTTCTTGGTTTTAGTTTTTAGTTTTTTGTTTTTAAATATATTTTGGTTAAACAGACGAAACTCTTAATTAGACCAACCATAAGTTCTTGGCTTCATATACCTATGGCTTTATTACCTATGAGAAGATTTTGAGTGGAACAACTATTTAGACTCTTAGAGCATTGCACAACTATTTCTCAAACCATTTCTGTCATACCAATACCTGTTACAACAATGAGATCTGTTGCATTTGCAGTGGATAAGGAATTGGGCTATATATGGAATGATTGGCTTACCTTAGCTTTTCCTTTGCATCATTAAAACTTTCAGCAACAAAGTAGATAGGCTGGAACTCAGTAACAGAGTAATTCTGCACAGAAGTGTTCTCCAGGACGAGAGGCCGAATCTCAGGCTTACTTGATAAACAGTACTATGAACAAAAAGGTAAGAAATCCGTTTCAGTTAAAAAGTGCTTTAATTTGTTAAGAAAGACAGAGCTCCTGAATACCACCCTGTTTTACAGACGAAAGACCTGCTGCTGTGGAATACCAGTCATCTGGTAACTTAATAGGGAAGAAGCAACTATAAGACAGTTCTATGTAAATACACTGACACATTAATTAGATAGAACTCTTCAACAAAATATAACATTATATACTACGAAGTATGAAGCAAAATAAGGATCTAAAGACAGCCAGAAGATATTTTAAATACCCAGGCATGAACTGTATATCATGACTGAAATATTGTTTTAAAGAACATACCTGCAGCTCCCCAAATGAAGACAGCAGCCCAGCACCATATGCCTTTAGTGAATCTCCTTCCTTACATAGTCCAAACTCAACAGTAAACCAATAAACCTAGCAAGAAAATTATATGGGATATGATTCCTTGACCAGAAATGACAGGTACACATCATTAATTTGAATGCCTTTAGAATTTGCATTTCTATTTAAAATGTTGCCATATATCAAACAACAAATGTATAAATACAGGAAATGTCCTCACAGACTGAAATTTTTCTGAGAGGGCCATGCTAGACTCAGTGTGTCTGCAAATACAATTCCCTGACAAACAGTGTTGTGCTTTACTGTGCTTACAGTTGTCAGCAGAGCAGAGACAATGAAAACATAGCAATAAAATTTCATTTTGGCTGGCCAACCCAGCTGAAGTTTGAACCTTTGATGATAGAAGTATGTTTCCTGTTTTACTCAGAGGGTGTCTGGCTGCAGCAGCACAGAAGAAATGAGCTGTTATAGCAGTAGTAGACCCTAGTGCCCCACTCAACTTTTTGCTCTGTCACTATATATTTGAAGGAACACTCACTCTCACTCAAATAAGACCTCCTTCATCTATCAAAACCAGCAAAGATAATGCAGCACTCTGCCCAGATGATTTGGCACTGGTGACGCTAATCTTATATGCATATCCTGATGCGGAGTCACAATTCTCCCAGTGCAGGATTCAGACGGATCACTGACTGCAGAGGACATTATCTGCTTGGCAGGGTAGAAGAAAAGAGACCCCAGCAGATAGAAGAGTTACTGAAGCTGTCTTCCAAAATTTCCCAGGGGCATGTAGTAACACTCAGTCTCTTCTTGCCCAATGTTTGTAATGATGAAAGACTTGACCAACCCTCTGTTTTTAATCAGAAGTGTCACTTGGAATAAGAGGTGCCAAAGCTATTCTCCTTTAGTGCAACTGTTTCAGGGTGAGGTTTTCCAATCATGGACTTCACTCTGTTTTCATTCAACTCTATGGGAGTTCTATCAGTGACCTCAGTGGCAGCAGAATTAAAACAACACAGGGTGCCTTGGAGAACTGAGCTCTCATTTATTAAATTACCGTAGCAAGTTTCTCGATGAAATCATCTGGAGCTCCCAGAGATGCCAGTCCAATTTCCTGCAACAATAAACCATTATTCTTCAAGTCATTTATTGCAAACATTCTTCCTGTCTTGTCTTATGTAATTTCTCCCATTTTAAATGTTACCATCTCATACTACCACACACAAATGTTTACAGGACATGTTCATATCATGCAGCATCAATTTTAAAGCAGAAATCTCTCCAGAAATGAACAAAAGAGTCTTGTCTAAGTGTCATTTATGAGGCACGACTCTTTAAGTCTGCTTCAAAACCCATTGAGGTCAAACAAAATTTTCATCAAGCCTACAGTGCATACCAAAGAGAATGATAGTCAAAGGGAGATAAATCAATCACATCCATACACCTTAAATATTTATCTCTACTTCAATGTGTCCTTACCACAAGAGCTTTCTTGCAGACTTGAAAGAGAGGTGTGTTTGTTTGGGTTTTTTTTGTTGTTTCTTTTTTTCCAAAAGTTAGGGCATGATTTGAAAAAGCTGGCTCATACCTTAGCAGCTGATGGAAACTTTCCTAGGAAGCATGCAATATCTGAATTCAGAAGACAACCATGCAAGACTGCATAATAACCAGGTATCTTTCTCAGTTTACTCCAGGGTGAAATGAACATCAAGAATTCATCATTCTCAGGCCTCCACACACCAAAAGCATTGGAACAGCTATTGCCATGGTAAATTCTAGTAAGCCGAAGGGCAGTCTAGGACTTATCTTGAAGGAAATTCTGGCAAAGGCCTTTCCTGAGAGCAAAACTGAACTACATCAAATTAACTACATCAAATCAACTTCTGTTCTGTGAGCAAGATGTTATCCCTTGCCTCCATCTTTCTGTCCTTCTGACCTTCCATTCTCTATCCTTGTTTCTCTACTTCCTTTCTCTTTGTCTTCCTTTCCTTAGATTTCTTTTTTCTTCTAACTTTCTGTCTATGCCTTTCTGTTTTTTCTTGTTTTATGGTAAGATGCAGCTAAAAGTTTACTTCTTCCCTGAGGTTTGGCTTCTTTTCCAGTCATGTTAGCACTATGAAAGGGAAAACTTTTCCCAGACTTTTTCCACACTCACAAGCAAGACAATTCCTCACTTTATATCTCTGCGATAGCTTCCTTTGAAAAAGAATCTTCACTTTCTTTAGTGTTTGAACTACAGAATGAATTGATAACACACATGACTCATGATCCATTCAACTCTTCCCAGAAGTATCAGCATCTACAAAGAAGGTGAATTTTTCAAAAAGGGCTTGCCTGTAAAAAGCAACCCACAAAAGACAGACATTTGGGGTGTGAGCACATAAGATCATCTATGTGATTTGTGTCTAGATTTCAGTAAGTTACAATTGACAGCTTACATGGCATCAGCTGTACTTTCATACAGTTTCAGCCAGGAGCATAGCAATGTACTCTCTTGTGTTCTGGTTTGATTCTTCACAACTCTTTAGAACCTACTACCTGTGGATATTTGTAATTTCAATACCTATCAATTATGAACTAAATCTTCACATTCAGATGGCCAAAAAGGAAGGAAAATAATTAACATCATTTGTTTGAAAGGGAGACTCAGCTGACTACATCCATACTTGAACAGTAACCTTGAAGGTGAATTTTCCATCATCCTATCCTATTTCATCCCATCCCATATCATCCCATCCTGTCCCATGTCATCCCATACCATGTCATGCCGTGCCATACCATGCCATCCCATCCTATTCTATTCTTCATGGCTCTTGGTTTGTCCTATTAATTACCTAGTCTATGATGGGATGTCAGTTTTAAAAATAGTATAAATACTAAGTAACTTACCTGGGAAAACTGAGCAAAACTGGGATCAGCAAAAAGAGGTACATGTCCTAGTAGCTCATGGCAAATATCACTGCAGGAAAAGATGACATGTAGGTAAACTTAATTTAGGAAATGCACTCCTATGAGCAAATAATGCTCAGGAATCTTGGAATAAATTTTTCCTGAGATGAGTTGGTTTGCACTCCTATGGCTTTTCAGTGGTTTTATCATACATCAATCAAAGGAAGGACATGTTATTTGTTTGTCATGGAAGGAAATAATGCTTCCAACTGTCCAATTCCTCAGCTCAGAAAAACCAAGGAAGAAATCACCTCACCAAAGGGAACATGAACTATTCTGTCCCAGGGGCAGGAAACAGCTTTAGATGAAGCTCATGCTACAGGCAGCTCAGAAGCTCAGCCCCAGTCACTGTTTAGGCATAGAACCCCCCCACTGAAAGATGGGAGCTCTCAGTTCCTCAAGTGAAACTGTTTTCATCATAATTTGAACAAGCAGCTGGCATGTTTGGGGAAGAACTTACCTGCACACTACTAGATTCCTGAAAGACAGAGAAGGAGTTTGATGAGACAAGAAGTGAAAAGGAGTGAAATACTCCCAGGAGGCCAAGGTCTGTGCAAGATGTTTACAGAACAGGCACCTGAAGAGCAGGCATTCAAGGAGATGCATGGCCAGGAAAACTGGGTTCTGCCAGACCAACTCAACAAGAATTGAATTGGGAATGTCAGACACCAGGGTCTCAGAGGGAAAAATACCAACTAAGATGTGAAATATGTAATTCACTGCACCCCCCCAGAGACAGAACACAAGATTCATAGGAACTGCATAACAACAGGGGTTGGCACTGAGGCTTTCCATTGTACCATTTGCCCCAGTTTGCCTAGACATTTTGTGAAGAGATGCGAACAAAACATTTCAGTGTAGCTCTTTGCAGGATGGGAACAGGGTGAGGAGAAGCAGGGAGGAAAATTATAAGAACAAGGAATGGAAAAATGGGGAGGAAAGGAAGGTTGTGGGAAGAAGTAGAGAGCAAAGAAACAGTGAGGGAGGGTCAGAAGAGCTACAGTAATATGAAGCAGAGGAAGAAGAGAACTTACTTGAATACACTAAAGTGGAAATGGACAACGGACAGTGACAGAGAGAAAAAATGTAAAACTTTAATATAAAACTTGCCACCAGAAACTTGCTTGCACCATGTTGAACCACTTCTGCATTAGATTTCATACTACTGCTTGAGGTGTTAATAGGTAAGCCAAATGTTTTTGTACACTGCTTTCTCACCTTCCAGCCACCATGTAAGCATGTCTTCAGTTAGCAAAACTGTCTGATAAATCCCAGAAGAACTTTCAGAAGTGGATACAACTTACTAAAAAGACTAGAAACCTTCAGTGTCTTCAGAAGAGCAGTCACTTGGCTGTTCTCCATTAGATCTGTTCCCATGAGTGCTCTGGAGTCCTGCATAGTTATAATCAGTTGGCCTGACCCTACAGTTTTCCTTACTTTCTATGCCAAAATACTTACGGCTCTGGTGTGTACATAGGTTTGGATGCATGGCGAATATACTGTGTAGAGTGAAATACTCGGAATGCCAGTCCAGCCAAGAAATCCCGAGAGGAGAGCAAGCCTGCAACAGGACGCAGGCGAAATCCAGTGCAGGCTGAAAGGGCAAAAAACATGGCATGTCAAAAGCACCTAGGATGCTTTGTCTATCCTTACCCGGACACCCTGCAGTAAAAGAACATTTTTAATTGCTTTCTTTGCTCTATGTTAAACAGAATTTAACTGGAAAAGAGCAGGGAATTTTCTGTCCATGTGTACCACCATCATAACATTTAAGCATCTGTACCACTGTACTTCTGAAACATTTAGAGAGTGATATGAGACAGCCTAAATTATGTGACCAAGTGCTCACAGAAAGTCTCTGTGAAAGCATCACCCCCACAAACATTTGTGTTTGGCAGGTTTGTTTTGTTTTGTTTCTTCCCCTTTTTTTTTTTTTTTTTTTTTTTTAATGAGGTTTTTTCATTTGTCTTTTTTTTGTTTTAACAATTCAAACGTACTCTGCAAGAACTTTGAAACATCTTCAAGCTGGGGAATGTTATCCTCCCGGTAGCCACAGTACTTCTCCAGCAGTGGGAAGACATGGTTGTGTTCATAACAAGCATGAGTTGGATAGAGATTCTTCAGCTCTCTGAAGACAGTGCCCCAAGTTTTCTTTTCTTCTTCCGTATAGGTAACTCGAGGAATAGGTTGACCACTGAAAAAAAAAAAAAGATGCACTCAATAGGAGTGAAAGAGAAATTGTCCAGTGCCACCAGCATCCCACCCAGGAACTTTCCATGGGCTGGCCAGGACTACAGTTGCAGGAAGGAAGGCACCTTGACTCTGACTTGCAGGTGCCAAACAAGCTTCACTTGTTCCTACACAATGGCTGGGAACAACTCACTGAACTCAGATGAGAACTGAGATCTTCTTCGGCTTAGAGAAAGGAAGGCTCTGGGAAGACCTCATTGTGACCTTCCAATACTTGAAGGAAGCATATAAACAGGAGAGGGAATTGCTGTTTACAGGGGTGGATAGTGACAGGACAAGGGGGAATGGTTTTAAACTAAGAAAGAAGAAATTTAGTTTAGATATTAGGAGGAAGTTTTTTGTTCAGAGGGCGGTGACACACTGGAACAGGTTGCCCAAGGAGGCTGTGGATGCCCCATCCCTGGAGACATTCAAGGCCAGGCTGGATGTGGTTCTGGGCAGCCTGGTCTGGTGGTGGGTGACCCTGCACATAGCAAGGGGGTTGAAACTAGATGATCTTTGAGGTCCTTTTAAACCCAGGCCATTCTATGATTCTATGAGAAACAAGCCTTTAGTCCACTTCTTGCACTACAGTGATGCCAACAAATTAGTGCTTATTTGTTTTTCTGAAATGTTCTTTTAAAAATATGAACTGGTTGATTATTTCAGTTTCTTTCCATTACCAGGTGTGGAACAGCTGTTTAATTTCTTGCTCTAATGCACACAACATTAATTGTCTTTGTTGAAACAGGGAAACGATCAGCTCCAGAAAATTCTGCTTAGTGGGGGTCAGAGAAACTCTGGGGTGGGCTTTATGCTACAACAGGTGCAGACTTCAGCTAGTTTGACTTTTTTATTGTAACACGTAATTTTGAGTCAAATCCCACCCTCAGGCTTCCATGTACTTAGCTCATGTTGAAGCTAGCAGGTATTAAGACAATCACAAGCAATGTGTTTTGACCTCCTGTGAATAGTCAATTCCTTACAATAATGATAGGGCCATAGGTGAATCCAACAGCTTTGAAAAATCAAAGGGTTTTAAGTAACTTAATAGGGTTAACATCACTGCTGGAGTAATACTGGAGCTTTCCAAGCCCCAGAGACCCATTGTTAACTCTTGATGACACGCCACCATCCCACTCTCTCATTTTTCCCTTCAGCCTCAGGGCAGCTGCACTGGAGCACCATCATTTTCTGCACCTCTGTATCAGCCCTCCTTGATCTGTGGAGCTTTAAACATCAGGTTGGATTATGAATCTTGCTGGGGGATTTTTGTTTCTATAGAATTTCTAAGTAATTCTCAGACACCTTCCTGGGCAACAGGGGGAAGATATGGCTTTAAAATCTTTCAAATTTCAATTTAAAATTTGCAGGGATCCACAGAGACAGAAGCAAAGGAAGACAGAAGGAAGAAGGCAGGCTGAGAAAAGCAGAAACAAGTCAGGGAGATGAGGCATTCAATGAAAATGAATGGTAAAAGTACCAAGAAAGAAGGCAAAAGAACACGGGCAGAGAGCAGAAAATGCAACAAAGAACACGAAACGGCAGGACAAAAGAAAACAAAATAATCACAGAAGAGGGGGCACATAAGAAGATTAAATTGATAAGGGAAATAAAAGTATGAGAAAACTGACCAAAAACTCACCTCACCTTTGTAACTGACATTACAAGCTAAGCATCTTTGCCTTTTCAGATACTTCCCACAGTGCCTCATAGCTTTAGTTGTTCCTCGCCTCCTGCCTGCTTCTCCATGCTCCTATCCCTCCATGCAGTGGACACCCCCTTGGCCTCTACTGTCCTGCTGCAGACCCTGAAAGACATCTGCCAGGTGAAGCACCCAGATCAAGTACACTATTTGGGCCTTCATGACTCAGCATCCAAAGCCATGAAAAAAACACATCTTTCTTCAAGACCCAGAACCCCAAATGTGGGTTTTCACATACTGCTCATTGCCCTATAGCTGAAAGATCTTATTGAAAAGCCCAAGAATTGTGCATAAAAGGTGCTTTTTGGAAATAGGTTCTAGCCTGTAGAGGCTCCAAAGTGTCTGTGAATCTGGATAACAGGCTAACTAGTAATTAGTTACATCTTGGAATATAACGATTTCATCTCCCTAAGCGGGTTTCGGGTAGAATATAGGAGTGGAGGCAGAGAGTAGAATATGAACTCATTTTCATTTTATTTCAGTGTAGGATATGATGAAAGCCTGCGAACTAGAGACCAGAATTTGCTGTCTGCTAACTGAGAAAGTTAAATCTTCTATGGGATACTTATAAATGGAAACTAAATCCATCTAAATTTGGCCACAAAGCCTTATTCAATTTTTCTAGCCATAAATTGGACTTCTGACTTTTTTCACCTGGCTTTTTTTTCACTTTACATCAATTAGGCCAATTATTTCTCTCATTTTATGATTGCATTATAAGCTTTTTGGCTCAGGAATTATCTTTTCATCACAGTTCTATCTGAAGTAGAGCTCTAAATGTACAACATATGTTACCTTATCGTTTGCAATCACAATTTTTTACCAGTCTCAGCAAGAATCAGACCAAATAGTACTGATGTAAATGTGTGAGTGGCTCTGGGAACAGAATTCTATCTCCTCCAGATTTGATCACTGAAAGCAATCAAGCAAGCCTGTTCTAACTGAATTTATCATCTCTATTCATTCATTTTTCTTGGGAAATTAGAGCCCAAACTGCTGATTGCAGCTGGGTCAGACAAGATAAAAGTAGAGTATCAGGCGCTGGATTAGCATCAGAACCATAAGTTATTCATTATTTTAATAGTGCATGCAGCTCCTGCTTTAATGTAAATGATAGGCTCTCCTCCCCCAGCCCTGGTTTAATGAGAAGAATACCAGAAACAGCTTTATTCAATGCTCAGGTCTTTGTAGTAGCAACTGAGTCTGCTGTTCAATTAGACAACAAAGCCAGAGATAAGGGGTGCTGTGGGGAAAGAGGATAGGCAATGTTCTCAGCTGAACATGTGCCTGCAACAATTTACTTTTGTTTTCCTGCAATTTGACGATAAATGCATGAACAGGAAGATTTAAACATACAAAAAAGAAAAACCAGCAGAGGCAGGATTCTTGTGAAAGATAACAGGGCTCAGAGCAGGGACAGAACGCCATAGAAGGCAGGAGACATGGGCTTGCTTTCTGCCTGCACGTTGAGCACTCACTGTCTGTAGTTGTAGGCAATGTCTGCAAACTCCTTCCTCCGGGCCCGGTACACAGGATCTTTGAATCCCTAAAGAGAAACAGCAATGATGGGTAAATGCAGGTGATGAAGAGCTTTTCTCCTGCTGAGAGCATGGCTGGTCCAAGGAGCAGTGAGCTTCCAGGGAGCCCCAGAAGTACAGGATTTAATCACTATACAGAATGTCTATTAGACTTTGTGGTTAGCAGTTTGACCTTTGCAGCTAATCATCTGTCTGATCAGAGTTAAGAAATACAATTTCTAAATCTTCTACTGGGATAACCATTCTCCTATCCTAGTGTGACACTTATGTAGGATGTAAGTTCCTCAGGGCTAGGAGTGTCTTCATCACCTACAGTGATGTCCTTCCCAGATAGAAGAAATATCTATGAGGCAAACAGCAGTAACTTCATGGGCACTGCCAGAGTTCATGAATGCCTTTCTCAGACATGCATGGTGTGACAGGACTGAGGGACCATGAAACACAACCAGGTACAAGAGAGAGCTGAGGTAGAGCACCGATTGAAGAGCACCAGTCAAATAAAGGCCAACAGTGGCATAAAAAACACTGTCTCAGATTAACATGGTATAGATGTATTTGCGGTCAAATCTCATACTTAAGTACTAAAATACCAAAGGCTTTTTTAATTTCTCTCTATATTCTGTATGTTGCTATGTCTATTAACCTAGAAGTTGTCTTCTTTCTTAAGTACTCCCTAAATAATTCTAGGAACTGAAGCAAAGCTGTTCATTCCTTTCAACATCTATGTTTTTGTTTCTTTCTTTGAATACAGTCTTGGTCTATTCCCACATGACACATGAGGGGGCCATTGGCTCAGTGTATCTCCTTTCATTCTGCCTTTCATATGACTGCACCGAGTATCATGAATCATTGTATATGATACATAACACCTCTCAAATTAAGCAATAGGTAGTGAATGACTAATCACCTCATCTCAATTAAACTAATAGCAGCAATTTCTGTTGCGCTGCATGTAATTTATTTATAATCATCCTATCTCAATTAAAGTAATAGCAGCAATTTCTTTTGCACTGCATAAAACTCGGTGTGTATTGACAAATGAAAATAAGTTGTTTGCTTGGAGAAGAAGTAAAAGCAGCAAGTATTCTTCTATTTGGAAGAGCTGAAAAAATGTTCAGCTAAGCCAGTGAGTAAAACTATCTAACTCTACCACTTTAACCATGACCTTTTGAAAAAGGAACCTTGTCTTTTTTTGTGTCTCACGAAACAAGAGTCATGACAAATTTAACAACTACATCACAATGCTCTAAGCTCAATTGTTTGTTTGTGATATTAGATTTAAAAACACTCTTCCTACCTCCAGGCTGTTATACACTGCTTCTGAAGATTTTGTTGTTAGTGATTCATAAACTGAGTCTCAAGTCAGCGTATCAGAGCCATATGGGAAAACCAGGTGTGCCTGTGGTGGCCTTCAGCTTGATGAAGTCTGTGATTCTTCAAGTCTGCTGGTATTTGCTTAAACTAAAGCAACTTTGGGGTTGCTCTACTTCATAGAAGGGAATGAGCAGATTCTAGCTCTAGAAATATGGCTCCTCTCTTGTTTGTCTAGCATTAGGTGGAATGGTTGGTGGCCCTGTGTGTGGCGGGGGGGTTGGAGATTCATGATCCTTGAGGTCCCTTCCAACCCTGGCAATTCTGTGATTCTGTGATTCTGTGAAACCTTGAAACTTAGTCTACTGTATTTGTCTTAAAGCAGAGCAAATGCAAATGAGAGAAACATCTATCCAAATAACTAGAAACGTGGACAAAAAAAAATCAACTAAGTTCTTTTTCTTACAGGATGGTCAGCATCCAGCTCCGCTCCATAACTTAGGATCTGATTGGCAAATCTGTCCAGCTCCTGAATACTTCTTGGGAACCACGGCACTGCAAAGTAGAAGAGAAACAGAGGCTTTAGGCTTCTTTGTTGGTTGGTTTTGGGCCTCCTTCTTGTCTATCCATCTCTTAAGCACAAATATAAAGAAACACATGTAAGGATCCAATGTCTTCAGACTTCCTTTCCTTGCAGTAGAAGGCAACAGAAAACCCTGCAAATGGTGTTGAATTTGTGGCTGTTCTGCACTGTGGGAAAAATACAGAGCATCAGGAAAGTCCAGCCCTTGGCACAGAGCTAGCTTGTGATGTTTATGATTTTCTGTTTATTATTCTGGTTTCTTGGCTTACCAAAACATAGGAATTTTTCCAGACTGCCCTTGCTTTCACAGTAGCTCAAATCAACTGTTTCAAAGGAATGCCTTCTGAAAATCTCTTTCTAAGACTTACTTGGTGGCCTCACTTAGGCTTGGATGCCAAAATAAAATGATAAATGGCACTCTGATACCTCAAACTAGCATTGTATTACTGCACTCATTATACAATAATGTATTCATTTAATTAAAATTCTGGGCCTGGTTCTTCATTGCCTTGTAACTCACATTCTATACACGTTTCCTGCAGTGCAGCCAGGATATGAAATAGGACCACACTGACTACATGGCATGCAATGCCCCTGTGGCCTTCCATTTACAGAAGGTCATAAGATGGAGGGCAAGGAAGAACAATGGGACTTTCCAGATGTGATGTGCTCAGACAAGGGAAAGTGGAAAGCAAATGTCTTCAGATCAATTGAGCTACAAGGAGGGGCTCACTGTAAGGCTCGTGGAACAGACCAAACCTTTGGAGCCATGGCTATGTTCACCTCAGCAGAAAGAGGCCTGGCACATATGCACACTGGCTGTGCTAGGCTGTGATCCCTCATCTACCTCTTCTAGGAGGGTTTGGCTGCACACCAAGACGCGGGTACCCTTGTCAGTCATTTGTGGGCCTGCCCCTCTCCCCTTCCCCCTGCAATGCTGAGATGGGGAAGTTTGATGAAGGGAGTGCAGAGACTAGGCCTGTTCCTTTCCCTCGTCCCATCAGCACACCGGGCAGAGCATCCTTATGTAACTCCTCTAGGTACCACTAGAAGCTACTAGTGGTAGCTTCAGCTGCCACTTGCTTAGTGTTCCCTCCAGCTGCTCCGTTCTTACGTATTAGGAACTTTGACACAAGCTGTCTGTCTTTTTCCTTTTCCCATCCCTTCCTTCTCCTTTTCCACTGAAATAACACCTTTTTTTCCATGGTATCCTTTGCTAGCGCTTCCATCTCTGTCATTCTCAAGGAAGTAAAGCCTGCTCAGGTGAGCAGTATCAGTGCAGGTTAAACATACCCTGGTACTTCCCCAGCAACTCACCGAATTCAGCAGTGGGCCACTGAGGGCTTTCCTGAGTCAGAGGCTACAGACATGCTTGAATTTAACAGCATCGGAGGAACTTTTCTTCACAAATACAAGTAACTGTTCTTTTAATCCACGTACGAATTTATCTCTGATGCATTGAGCTCTATCATTTTATTACATGTGATGTTCCTATCCCTGTTCCCTCTCATCATTTTTCTGGGCACTGCTTCCAGTTCTACTCTGCTTTTTCTGAGGGTCAGGGACAACAGGTCCATGTAATGATGTATTCCATTCTCAGGCCCTATACTCATGTCCCATATGCTCTCCATTCCACATACAAGTCAAATTGACAGATACTGAGGATAATACCACTTCAGAGTCTGTTGTTCCAAGCTCAAGATCTCTCAGCTGCTGCTCTATCAGTAAAATGTCAGCTGTGTATTTTGCAACTTTCTTGCATGAACAGGGTCGCTTGTTCAGACAGAACCTTGAGAACATCACTCTGTGTGGCTTCACTCAGCTGGGAGCACTGCACTCAGCCACACTCCCCATCTGATTTCAAGTTTTGTGCCAAATTCATCTGATCACAGGAAAAGGCCCCCTTTAGAGGAGGGGTGGGGGAGAGGGAGGCTTTTTCCGTCTTTAGGGACAGAGCCTCTGAGGATTCTGTTGGCAGCTGCTATGTGAGTTCCCGCAGTGCCTTGCTGACACGGATCATCCTGGCTCCTAATAGACCACCAAAGGGATAAGAGGATCATGCTGCCTCCAGGACTATTCAGCCTTGCTTTTGTGGTGCTGGATTTCTGAGAGGCACCTGCACAGATCGGCCAGAGCAACATAAGTCACTTTTTGGATGGCCACGGCTTGGCTGCATGCAGATCTCTCACACCCTCTGACCTGGTGTCCCACAACCATCTTGACTCTGTCCATGCAGCTCCTGGCTCTGGCCAGCCTGACTCCAACCAGCATTTCTACTGAGTCCCATTTCAAGCTGCACACCTTCTGCTTTGCCCTAACAGACAGGCTTGAACGAGACACTAGATGGCAGCAGCAGTCCCAGAAGATCTGCTCTAAGTGACTGCTGGGTTTACTACTCGCTGGTTTGTTTCCCCAGAAATGCTTTCACCTTGTTGTTTGGTGCCCCTTAAGTTAAACCAGCTGGGGGAAATGACTAGAAGGAGTTATACTGAATCCTAGAGAGGAGTCAGTACTGTCTTTTAACGTATTAGGGGTGAGTCCACCCAGCCATCCTGCCCTATGTTTTATACAACCAGCAGGACATGGCATTTATCTCCCAGCTCTGCCACTGCCTTTTGCATGGTGTGGGTAGGGGACTGCCACACTGTTTTGTACTTCAGGCTCCCTAGTGTTAGAAGAGCTGAAACCCCACTATCACAATCCTGACAATTGCTTTGGGATTAGGCACTGGGAAAAAAAAAAAAAAAAAAGGAAAGACCAATGGGACTGAGGTTTGCAGTGGAAATCTGTAGGGATTTGCTGCCTTGTTTCAGAAAGGGTAAGGTGGGCACGGTTTGAATCATTCCAACTTCAAGAAGTGATAAAATGTGTATAATAATGACTTGCATTCATTAAACACATTTTATTCACAGCTTTCCCTGGGTACATGGTGCAGGGATTGTGATGAATTGTACGGCAGATTGATGCCCAAGGCTGATGCAATGACAGTCTCTGACATGTAGATAGGTAGCTTACTTTTCCCCTACACAGGCACAGCATCTTATCTTTTAGGTGCACAGTCACTGTAGCTACCAGACCTATTCTCTGTCCCCCCCCTCACACCTGCCATACACTAACAGTAGCTCAAGGCGAGCTGCTCTGGTTGAAAGCTCAACCAGTAGGCTCTAGAAGAGGAATCCTGTTGATGCTCTGGGTTATTTGCATCAGCATAAACTGTTGTTAAGTTCTGAACGTTCTCAAGCACTTGTGGTAACAATAATTAAAGGTGCTGAACACAGCCCTGGTGCAGCCACACCACCTAATCCATACAGCTCCAGCAACAGGCACCAGGGTGCAGAAGTACCTCTGCATGGCTGTGGTATGCTGGGATGCTGTCCCCAAGCCCTCAAGCAACTATCAAATCAAATTATCCCCTGATGAATCTGCCCCATATTTTGTTTGCGACAGCCTCCTCCAGCCCCGTTGCCAGACTCACTGTCTGTCTGCACAGCCATTAACAAATACCCAGAGCAAGCTGTTGCAACACTGGCCCTCTGTGAAGGTCCGAGGAGCAAACGTGGGCTGATCAGTAATAAATATTGATTTGTCTGTAAGTGAAACAGCGGCATTTATGGGATGGTGCTGGACACCCAAGTGGTGACCAAATTACCATGGGGTCAAATGCTTAGCAGAATGCTAATAAGCCATTTGTATGAGGGGCAGCAAAGCAGGGACAGCAAGGACTTCTGCAGAACTCTTCCATTTGGATCATTGTGAAGAGGGTCAAAGACAGGTCTATGCAATTTATAGCAGTTCGAGGCCCAGGTTTAGCCCTTTTTTAAACAGCCCCAAATGCTTTGGCCAGCCTCAGGGTTCAGCAAACAAGGCCCCTACAGAACATCAGCCTCCAGACTGTCTCAGAAATGCAATAAATTGTCTGCATTTCCCTAATGCAGCAACAGAATAATATTTAATTCTTTTTATTCATAGGGTCTAAGAGGTCTGCAGATACCCATCTTGTTTCCAAAAAGAGCCATTAAGAGAAACACTGTTCACAACAAATCTTTCCATTTCTACAAAGGCTGTTTGGCCCAGTGACTGCTATCCCATCTCATCTGGAGCTTGAAAACTATTGTTGCATTCATGGCATTTTGCTGGTCTGCTCTCAGATGACATTACACTGTTGATCCAAACCCACTATTTGTTACTTTTTGGTGTATAAAGGGGTAACTAAAACTGCCTTTTGCCTTTATGAGAGTAAAGACCCTAAAAACAATTAGAATGTCCAGATTAAAAAAGATCATAATAATCACAGATCAAAATAAAAACACTGAATCTTTCATTTATACTCTGTCCAATAAAGCACATGCATGTGTTTAATACTCAGCTATTGAAAAGAGGACTGTAATTTTTTTCCAACTCTCCATAAAACACTGCCCTCAGAGCAGCACTACTGCTTACTATGGGAAACTGAGTGAAAGAGGGGCTTTTCTGCTCAAATCATGAGCATGAGCAATGTGAATCCTTACAAAGGAAGGGCTAAGAGCAACTACAAGCAATGGTGAAAGAATCAATCTCATGGGACTGTGGATTGGGTCTGGGAGAAAACATTCCCAGCTTTACCTGTCAACTGAGAAGAGTGTGACAATATACCCATGAGCCATATGCTTGATATTTTGCTCCCTGGAGGTGTATCACTCTCATTCTGTGCTCTGGGAATAAAATTTCAAAAAAGCACATCTGCAGGTTGTGACCAGATTTGCCAGGAGGATGCATACTTTTGAAAAGCAGTCTGACCTAAAAGGCACCACAAGGCCTATTAATTGTTAATGTCATCAGAAATAAAGGACTACATTTTACCACTCTTCCTACAGCACAGTATGCTCCATTTCAGTCTGCCCTTGTAGCTGCCTCAGCAGAGAATTTGCCACCCACAGTTCAACCCCTAAGCAGTGCTTCTTTGACCTTTCAGATGTGGCTCTTTAGGGATTTCAGTTTGACTGGATCCTCACTGCTCATGAGAGAAGTTGAAATTTGAAGAAGAAAAGAAAAAGGGAAAAAAGCAAGAAGAAATATCAGTCTTCCTTTCTTTCCTTGGCAGTAAGTTGCTCCCAGTTTATACTATTTCTCAGTTATTAGAACTAAGGAACAAACACAAGTTATCCTCCCAAAAGGAAGGGGATCAATTTCCTTTCTGCAGCACTCACACACTAGGATAATCTAGCTCAAAAATGCTTTGATCAACACATTAACATGCAGAGACATCTAATCCCACAGCAGACCAGCAGACCATGGGCATTTTGACTTCTGTGAGGTCAGAATTTCAGTCACAAACATTTCTTGGCTGGTATTTAGAGCTGCATCTCTATCTGACTCTGGCTTAGGTTTACATATAATTTTAACACCTTTGTAATAACAATTAGAAAAACAAAAGCAATGGTAAACCTGCTAGGTCCTGCACCTTTCTCCTGGAAATAAAAAAAGTCCTGAAGAGAGAACATCTTTTATTTGACATGGCCATAAAACATCTAATCAACCCTTTGTCCCTCCATCTCACGAATGGAGAGAACTGACTCCAAAGAATATCTGCCAACTTTGTTTTCATCTTCAAATGTAATGTCATGGGGAGGATACAAAGGACATGGTAAAGGGATTACCAGGACTGATCTCATGAAGGTATTAATGTCCTTTCATGTTGTTCCTCGAAAGGAAGAGGAAGATCCAGACCTAAAGTATTTAAAGTCTGAAATCCTATTAAAACCACATCTGTTATCTGCAGAGGCATTTATGTATGTGTCAGAATATGGGGCAGCCGCCACCACTGTACAAGGCAGTCTCAACTCCAGCAAAAATTAGGAATGTGAAAGCTCAGAAAATCTTTTCTTATTTCCTCCAAACGCAGAATTACTTCTGACATTTCCAGGACTTCTTCCAGTAGTGAAGAGTTATTCCTGATCCCACTGAAGTGGGTGGCACAGCCTCCCTAATTTCAATAGCAGGAGTGAGGGGGTCCCCAAGCACAAATAGTAGAGAGGCAAACAGTGTTTGACACGCACGTACCTGGGCAAAAGAGAGCAGGGGAAGGAGGGACAGCCACTGCTGGGAACTTTTCCTCCCTTCCTCTCACGTCAGCCCAGAGGTGCAACAGCCACATAGGGGAAAGGGCTTCAGATGCCAGTGGACAGAGCTCATGAGACTGATGTTGAAAAGTAAATCCCAGTGTTCAAAGGATGCACTAGCCCCCTGAGTATGCTACCATTTCATGCCAGGCTTTGCATGTAATTGGGCTCTTATCACCTCCACAACACCACAAGGTTTGTGCTAGGGTAATTCATGAGGTTCCAGAGACATTCAGCAAGGGGAAAAGCAAGGTGGAAGTCTGTGCTTTGCTGTCACTTTTTGTTTTGTTATGCTGCCATTTGCCAGTGATCCTTTCTAAATAAGGATAATAAGGATAATGTGAAAGGCTGCTGGACTTTGTAAGAAGCATCTATTGAATAAAGAGTTTGTAAAGAGTCAGCAAATGAGCAAAAACTAATGAATCAGCGTACTGCAATTAGGCTGTCTTTAAGAGACTGCATGTGGCATCAACAAAACCGGTGAAGACAGAATACTGTAACACCAGTTCCTATGGGACCTAGTCAAAAACTTGGCCAAAAATAGAGCATGGCAGTCTATATTGAAAAAATCTGTATGAAAAAGCTTACAATACAGACAAAGTAGACAGGAGGAGGGAGACACAATCATGCAGGTCCAAGGTTAACACTTCTGCTGGAGGAAGAGGAAATAACTTAAGTGTGTGACATGAATATACCTTGTCAATATTGTCTTTGCCAGTGTATCCTTACCAGTGTCCTTCTTTTTTGTCCGTGAGAGCTCATGCACTGTTACTCCAATATCATTTCTTAAGGACTTGATGATCTTGTCCAATGCTGGGACATTATTGCCTTCCAAGTTAATGAAGAATTCATATTCATCTTTATTGAGACGAGAAGGTCGAGATTCAATGTGAGTCAGATTTATGCCTTTTTCCTATGAGAAAGAAAGATTTTGGTCACACGGTGTCTGAAGGAAGGAATACAACATAAAGACTAGGCATCAGTCAACTACCTATACCATATAGTACTAATAACTCAAAAGCAGAGACTTGACTCTGATGGCCATTGAACTGAAGGCTTTAAAAATGGAGGGAATGAAAAGGGAAACCGAGAAGGATGTAGGATTCACCCTTGTGCAGAGCAGCAGTATAAAAACCATTACGACATAAACCTTCGAAAAAAGTGACACAAGTTGCAAATAGGATATGTATTGTAAATGGTAACTCTAGTACTGTAAGCACATATTGGAATCTGTGTAAACAAGAACTTTTTCCCAGGATCAACATGGAAAATAAAAGATTTTGTCCCTCTTAACAGAAGGTGAATGCTGTATTTGTGAACGTTTTTAAAGGAGGTCATAAATGCAAGGATTGCATTGTCCTGTGAGCTAAGCTTCTGCCCAGCCAACAGAGTCATCTGCAAAGCCACCTCCACAGCTTCCAGGTCTGTGAGCAGGTTTTGGGCAGAGATCCAATAGGAAACATGGATCTGCACCAGAAAGGTAGCCCAGAGTTGTGTAAATAAAAACGTGGGTGTTGTAAGATCATAGAATCATAAAAATAAAGAATTGCAGTCAATGAGAGTGCATGGGACCTATGGAAATCATCTAGTCCAAGCATTTGCTCAAGTAGACTTCACAAAAGCTGTTTGCTCAGGACTGTGTTCAGTTAGATTTTGAGTATCTTCACAGATGATAGAAAATTTACAGCTTCTCTGAGCAAACTGTTCCAGAGTCTGTTCACTCTCACAACAAAAACAAAATCTTTTCTTTAGTGCAGAAAGTCAAAATCTGTCTCAACAAAGACCTTCACTTACAAACAGCAGCACCTCCTAGCTCTGAAGAAAGGCACTGTTGGCAACCATTGCTGTAACAACTATGACTACTTGGCATCTGACTTCAGCTGTCACCATGACAAGTAAAGTATGATAAAAGTAAAGCAATCAGTAGCTAATATCATATTTTTTAGAAAAATCTTTTAAAAAATCTTTTTAACAGATTTCAGTCAGTGTTGACCTTCCTTCAGGCTCCCACGGCAGCCACCATGTCTGGGTCAGTTTCTGTCTCTTGCACGGAAAAGAGTTAATTAACCCTGTGAGAAAATTTTGGCCTGAAGAGTAAACCCAGAGGAGTCAGAGGAGCTGACACACGGCGCTCAGCAGCCACGCTGACACTGCTGTTTTGCTGCTTTCAGGCTCAAGTAGATCCCAGGCTACACGGGGTGAAATGATGGCCTCACTAGTGTCAGTATCAACCCCCTGCAGGGGGGTCAGGATTTCATCCATGAAGAAATGCTGCAAGGATCTATTTGTGACCTACAGGGAAGAAAGAGGGAAGATTTTTTTCTCTACCTCCCTCTAGCTTGAGCTTCTCAAGCACTTTAAGGTTTTCTTTGCTGCTCTCAGTGCTTGCACAGCGCAGGGGGGCATCTGGCCATCAGCAGCAAAGGCCTCATTCACTCCACCACAAAAGGCAGTTTATTACTTTGTAGGAAACAGCATGCATGTCATTCCTCTGTTTTCTGAGTGTCACACGCTACAGATGAACTTAAATTGTTTGGCTAGATACCAATACAATAAGTTGAAAAGGTCAAAAGCTCATTCACCACCAACTGCCGCTCTAGAGAGATAGTGTCCTCATGGGGCTGTCTGCGGGCAGAGAATGGCTGTCACTGTGCTGGGCCCTGAGGACAATTTGTTTTAGGCCTCCAAAACCCCATTTCACAAACAGACTGCACATTGTCCCCTCTGCGCAATGAGGCACTGGGCGGCAGATTGGATGGGAGATGGAAATTCAAATAAGTTCAAGCTGGAAAGCTTTTGACAGAGAGAAGGCACAGGGCCCTTTCACCATGGCCACACCATGGAGATCAGTGCAGTAACATGGGGCTGGCACCCCTTTGGCATAGCCACTAAACAGGGATGGAGAGAGAGTGTAAAACACATCTCTGTGCAAAAGGTGGGCCAAACACACTGAGGTGCTGCTTTACATTCACTTTTCATCACCTGGTGCATCAGGGCATTATACCCTGCATAGTATCACAAGAGAACTGGGTCCAACTTCTTGCAGAGGTAGTGATAATATGAGTCTCTTTTCAGCAGCTGTTACCACCTTCTTCTCTTCCCCACTCAGCATCCTTCTCCCAGGAGTAGCGTGGTTGTGTGAGATATCCCACAGGTTACCTAAAAGCGTGTATTTATTTTTGGCCAGGTAATTGAGCTGTACCAGTTCTCCAACTGGGCTCAGCAAGCAGCTGCACAACCAGTAGTGCCTGCAAAATGGAGAGAATGTGCTGGGGTTGGGAATGAAGAAACAAGCCATGGGGCGAGCACAAGACAGCGGAAGTATCGGTGACTCCAAAAGTACCATGGAAAAAGAAGAGATTGGAAAAAAAGAGGAGAGGAGAGGAGAGGAGAGGAGAGGAGAGGAGAGGAGAGGAGAGGAGAGGAGAGGAGAGAACTAGAGGACAGAAGGATCTTATGGAGAGAGTAACCTCTTTCCTTACACCTAGGACAAATGCAACTGTCTTCCTGCAGGATCTGAAGCCATTTTGGCTGTTATTCAAGGGGCACTTTCAGCTCAGTGATATGCAAAACCAACCCACTAATTCCTTGCTTGAAGGCTTCAGGACAGCGGCAGAGCAGCTGAAGGGAGAACCCTTCTGGTGACAGTTTTCAAAGCAGGAATTCAGCAGCATACATCTCTGATCTCTCTCATAGAAGCAGGCTGTCATATGCTGTGCATTTATAATCAAACCCCAATTTCAAAATACTTACAATGGTTCCATTACCAGAGTTATTTAAAAATCTCAATTTCATTCTAGTCCAAGTACTCCATCTAGTGTCTAATGTTCATAGTTTCACATCATTCTAAACTGTATACTTGGTATTGTCGAATCTTGCAATGGCATGAAGTTTTTTACAATAATTTAAACCTCTAACTTCTGAAGCCAAATGGCTACCTGAGAACAATCAATGGGACACTTTTTGTTTTATTTTGAGCAATTTTCAATCTCTGTGTTTTTAGTAGAGCTTGAAATCTTTACAATATAAGTTCTCAAGAGACAACTAATACAAATTCTAGATCACAGAGTGAAAGAATGGCTAAGGTTGGAAGAGACCTCAAGACCCAACCGCAAAGCCCACCCAGTTCCAAACTTGTGCCATGGGCAGGTTTACCACGTACCAAATGAGGCTGCCCAGGGCCCCATCCAACCTGGCCTTAGTGCCTCCAAGGATAGGGCAAAACATCCATTTTTTAAATGAAGTTTCAAGATTTCTGGGTTAATTTTTGTTGTTGGAAACCGACTCTTGAGTTCTGGAAGATCTGGTCTGTCACATGTTTGATGTTGGATTTACACCCAAACTGTTAATACCTGTTTCTCCTGCCGTTACTGTTTTAGAGGTGGTAGAAATCACTTGAACACAAAGCTCGAGATTTGGCATTCCTTTGCTGAATTTCACCCATTATAGACACTACACTTATGAAGAACTTGCAGCATGTTGATGTTCCCCTATTTCTCCTCAAGTTTATGGCCAGCATAAAGGTTGAGTTCCTCGTCGTGATCCATGATACAGCCACATGCCTGCTGGAGTACTTCTGTGCTGGTAGAGGAGGGGTAGCAGCTCACTTTGCATTTGATTCAAAGCAGTGCAAGCGTGAATAACAGAATAGATTCTGCCTTGAGGACTAAGGGAAGCATTTAGTTGTAATAGTTAAGCAAAATCACAAAAGTACAGTGTTGTCAGACTCTCTGAAGTTATCTTCAGAAGTCTCTCAAACTTTCTTGCTGTTGCCCACTCCTCTCAACTTTCATTGAGTATTCAAATTCACTGTATCTCTATCACTTCCCATTAGAGAAAGAAATCTCAAGAGATGTTCTGAGAGCTCAAAAACCAAGTTGAAACAAAGCCTATTTTGTTGAAGTCATGATTTTTGAATGACAGGGTTTATCAATATGGATGTCAATTCACCACAAAGGCAATAGAGGAGACAGAAAGATTGCTTGTCTCCCTGCCTATCTTTCCACACAGCTGGAAATCCTCCTTGGCTTCCTTTCAGGTGCCATGGAGCAATTCTGTCCTCTTCCCCAGATTATGCCAGCTGTACCACCTTAACAGAGCGTCTCCTATGCTGCAACAGCCCCACACCATTGGGATCCAGCCAGTTGGATGTTACTCTACATCAGCAATCTTGCAGAGGTCACTGGCAACAGAAGTTGGTCCCTTCCTCAACTAGTTTAGTGGACTGAATGTTGTAAAAATTGTGTTCTCATAGCTAGTCTGAGAAGCTTTGAGTGGAGATGGGTACTTTCCAGAAATGCCACGAACTAATGCTTCTTGTAGCATTTGTATCTCCTTCAGTTTCTGTATTCCTAAGTGCTCCTGAACATGGAAAAGTAGCATTGTGAAATCCGTCTCCAGCTTGTGTACATGAGCATTGACTTAAGTAAGTTTGGCTTCATCAGGAGATCCCACTTTGTTACTAGAGGAAGACCAGCAACAACTCTACAGCACTGTTAATGAACATTCAGTGAGAACTTGAACAAAATCTTCCAGGATAAGGATTTACTCATATTCCTTATACAAGAACAGCAACAACAAAAGTGATGAGTTCTTTTAGTCCTTATCACATGCTAGTCCAGGACTTCCTGAAGGAAGAGTCTTTCAGAAGAATCGTAGACTCATAGAATTGTTTGAGTTGGAAGGAACATTTAAAGGTCAGTAAGTCCAACTCCCTTTCAGAGAAGGACAGCTAGATCAGACTGCTTACTAATAGAACTAGTAGAAATTCACTGCCTAATTTTCATAGATCATGGAAGTTAGGAAGTTGCAAAGATGCTTTCAGCCACAGCTTCCTAAAGTGAAGACTGAGGAACTCGTGCTCAACTTTACTGTCCAAGGATTCGATTCTCAGCTAAAGACAGAGCTTTTGCA